CTATTTGTGAATGTAGCAATTTGTCACAGCCACAGAAAGTGCTGCCAACCCCTAAAAATAATCAGATGAACTGCTCAAGAGACAGAAATTTAGCTGTGGAGTTGATAAGTCTATTCAACTCCTTTCTGCTTACATTGCAAATCTCAATTCCTTGTTAATGGCTGAAGTTTAGCTTTGAAAAAAGTTTTTTGGGTTTTTTTGTTTTTGTTTTTATGAGGGTCACTCTAACCTTTTGAACAATGTTGATTATATACTTTTTGCTAAGGATGCCATTTATTTCAGTTTCCTCTGTAGCAGAATGTAAGAAGTGCTCCAGGCTTTATCCATCCTTGTCACAGAAGTCTAAGAGTTCTTTTTGCTTACAAGTCAACCAGGAACAGTAGGATATAAATGCAAGTGCTGGGGAGGGGAAGCTGGATAGGTTATAGAAAATAGAAGGCTCCATCATGTAGTTCATTTTCAATGTGGATATTTAAGTCCATATGTTCCTGTGGCTAGCACGCTATAGGGTGGTATAAATTCTGCATGAAAATGTCACGCACAAGTCAAATGCTCATTGTTACCATGTCACATCTTCACACAATTACAACTTCAAATTGATTCCAGGAACAATATTTGCAAAAAGACCACACGCTGAAAGAAAATGAAAAAAATGAAGTGTGATCTGAAGTAACCTGAAAGGTAAGAAAAAAAGTCAAAGCACTTCTACTCCAGTGGTACATCTGATACAATAAAACTTACTACAGAAAGCAAGGAGCAAGTTACCGCTGTTCCAGGCACTGGTAATTTGCCACTAATATTCATCTATACACTGGTATGTCTTAAGTATTTTTTGTAGATGAGATGAGAGCCTTTTGGACCTTGTCTACACTAGTAAAATATTTGCAGGTATGGCTATGTCGGCTCTACTGGCTAACCCTCCTAGGGCAGATGCTTGTATTGGTACAGCTTATACCAATCTAGTCTAACATTTTTATGCTGGAATAATGACATCTACAGTAAGGTTTTACAACGTAATAAAACATACACAGAAGCAAGATCCCATACACCTAAATGACACTGCCATTGCAGCAGAAGTGAATAATACAGACTCTAGTTTTAGTCCCATGTTGGTGAAGGGTCAATTACATAAGGCCCATATGCAAAAGGTAGGAGTATCCTTAGTATGGTTATGTGGGATATCACCACTTCTTTAGTGCTTAAATTAATTGAGTTTTTGGCCTTTTGTCTTGCCTGTTTACCAATCTAGCTATTGGTGTTATTTAGTATATGTATTACATACTACTATGGGCTCAAATCTCCTGAGAGTTGACACACATATACAGAATAAAGATGAGTTGCTGAAGCCATCTCTACAAGGCAACCACATCATAACATGCAGCAGCACCCTCAGAAACACTCAACACTCTACATGGATGTTCTCTTAACTGAAAATGGGGCTCTCCACATGTGCTAATTAGTATTTGGCAAGCATCAGCACTATCACGCAGCAGTCCTAATTAGCCTGACTGAAGCCCCACACACTACTCTGCTTCAGGCAGAAGTATAACAGAGAAGGTCCATGCTCACAGTAGCTGATGATGCACAGAACAGTGCTGGCTCCTGCTTTGTCTATTGGAATGGAATAGTCAGTTGTCACTGTGGCTTTTGTGCCCCCACAAAAGTAGCACTGGGGACTACTGCCTTGGTCTGTCCATCAGTTATACTACTGGGTTCAGGTTTACAAGGCAACTTGTGCAGATCAGTGCAGCGTTTTGAAGGCACTACTTGCCTATCAAGGTAAGCTTCCCATGTAGAGATGCCCTCAATTTACTCACTAAATCAGTGTAAGCCAGACAAGGTGTAGAACTTTTTTTACCGGTATCCAAGACGATAGCATTTATTCTTCTGTTAAACTATAGCTAGCAGTGTATGCTAAAAGAAAAACAGCAACTGTTTTTAATTCAGTCTTTCTTACTAATGAACTTGATGAGCTCAAAATATGACAAAGTAGCACAGCTGAGAATTGAAATTCATCACAAAATATTTAGATTGAACAATGGCACTGAAAGCTATCTACCTGTTCCTGAACCCTGATATGGAGGGACTGAACTTTATGAGCAAGAAGTTATTCATGTGTCATATCCATCCCATTGCTTCCTTTACTGATAATTGCCAAAATTAACAGTTTCACATATCTAAAAGATGAACACCATTCTTCCTTGCCATTTGCCCATTACATCTATTAATTTTAAAGTGTTATTTTAAAAATTATGCATAACACTGCATGTACCACCAATACAATACTACATGTAAATTTTCTGTTTACTCTAAAAAGTAATAAAGGCACATTTAATGAGCTCCTTTCAGAATATAATATTAAATTTCCCAATACGTCTTGTAAAAAACTCAAGCTTAATTTATTTCCAGTAGAAAATGTGTAACACAATTCTGACCTCTTTTTAAAACCATTTGGAGACCTACTGATGAAAAGCACTATAGAAGAGCTAGGTAGTATTATTATTCTCTTGAGTGTTGACTTGAAGACATTCATTGACTGTCTGTTAGGATCCATATCCTGGCATACAGGATATCATAAAGAGCCCAAGTCACTTTTCCACAGTTGACCTTCTCCATTTGATATTCATCTTCTTCCTCCTCTTAGGCTCTTTTATATACTGTCTCTACTTCCTCTATTCCTACCAAAGCCAAAGATGAGATGCCATTCCTCACATTACCCCCACCAACAGATTTTCTATTACCTTTTCTCTTGTCTCTCATTTGGCAGAGAGCACTATTTGCAGAAGAGACTGTATGTATTCCTTTCCATAAATGCACTCAGGAGATCTCAATATATTTCACATATTGTCTCTTTATTAACTAAGGAAAAAAAGGATAGTATTTTTGCTGCCCTCCTGAAAGCTGTTGGGCAACGAACAGAAAGAATCTAGACAGAAAAGAGGTCTCAGAGGTTGATAATGATGTGTTATAAAACAAGTGTCATGAGGGCAAACAGTAAAAGACATTTAGGTATAGCCAATTAGTACAAGGGTGAGCAAAATACTGTCTGTGAACTGGATCCTGCCCACCAACTGATTGTATCCAACTCATGGGTGGGCAGCCACAAAGTCATGGGATCTGGCCCACAGGGAGCCAGCAGCTCTGGCTGCTGTATCATGCTGGGCAGGCAGGCATGTCCTGGCCCCATCTGCAGCTTACAACAGCTCCTGTCCTGCATGCCAGAAGCAGTGCCAGGTATGAATAGACATTAATGGTGTACACTGCTGGCAGGTTCCTGCTGGAGATCACGGCAACTGCCTGGGACTGCAGATGATGCACTGATGAAGCAGCATCACTGTGGACC